CCGGCTGCGCCGGGGCAGCTCCGCCATTCGCACGGGGAGGGGAGCCCGCCGCCAGCAAACACTGAAGACGCACATGGCGCAAACCTCCTTGTGTGTTTCGTTTGAACATAATTGGTGAAAGTGTTGGTTTTTTTAAAGCAGCAGTGATTTGGGTTTTGTTTGGGGGGTTGTTTTGTTTTGTTTTGCAATTTCATTCCATTCTTGACCAAAGCTTCTCTTTAAGTAGTTTATTATGGAACGTTGTCAACACTAACTTAAAGGAAGGGGTGGGGAGGTATGTAAATTGTCTGCTGAAAAAATTAAATAAAAACACTGAATATGTTTTTGGTTTTGTTTTCCTTATACTGTTTGCATTTTTAGTACGGAAATGTGGGTGAATTCTTTGTCAAACCAGTGAGTTTGGGGGGTAGAATCTTAGACGTAGTTTCCTAAATCGAGCCATCTGGTACACCCTTCAACCAAAAGAACCATTTCTCGAGTGCAGTCTTTAGCCCGGCAAGACTTGGGCAGAGGAGGCACCCTGTTCCCAGCTTGTTTACAGACAACAGACAGACAGACCTCCCTCTGCCAAGCAGCCTCTTGCCCGTGGGTGTGGTGGGGGGCACGGTGTGCAATGGGAGAGAAAAAGCACAAGTTGTCATTTTGGTTTAGAGATTATTGTACCCAAACTCAGTTATCTTCATCATAAGGAGAGGCCAAGTTTGACATTTCAAGGCTGAGACTCCTGAGAGCTGCAACAAAGAAAAAGTGACTGGCGGGGAAAATGAATACAGCGCAGCCTTGAGTGTGGTCTGGCCGCGTGCCCAGAAGTGGAGCAGTGATTCCCACACGACTCTATACTGTTAAGACAACACGGGTAACTGCGTTCTCAAAGGACATCGTGATGTTCTGAAAAGAGCACGTTTCGCCCTGCTGCTGACCCACGGGAAGCACCGCTTCCCTCCGGGAGAGAACCCCGGCCCCGGGCACCTGCCTCTGACCGTCTGCTGCAGCGTCCACTCTGCTGCAGCCTGTCAGAGCTGGAAGAGGAGCCTGGTTCTCCCCCGGAGCCTCCAGAAACCTCCAGCACCCGTTCAGCCACTGAGGCAGGCTGTGGACCTCTGACCTCCAGCGCTGAGAGAGAAGGCACCTGCATGATCTCAAGGACCAGCCTCCCCATCTGTGGTTCCAGCAGCAACAGAAAAGGAGTCCACTAAGGCCGTTCAGAAAAGGGAAAGAGGGAATTCCTGGGGATTCCAGTGGTTAAGACTCCGCTTTCATTGCCAAGGGCACGGGTTTGGTCCCTGGTCGGGGAGCTAAGATCCCAGCAAGCCAGGTGGCGCAGCATAAAAAGAAAGGGAGGAAATAGGATCAAGAGCAGTTTTTCAAACTGAGGGTCAGAGCCCATCTGAAAGTTGTAAAATCACGGCTGGCACTTCAACAGGAGAAAGCATTCTGCAGCACATGGAGTCAGTTCTGATTCAGACACACAGGGGGCTGTGAAAGAGGCCACAGTGTGTCCCGTGGGGGTCATGACCACAAACAGTTCGAATGCTACTAAGGTAGAGTCACTCCCCTGAGTGGGGGTTGATGAGGACCCAACGGTTGGTTCTTGCTCGGTCCAACATGGCAAGAAGGTGTGCCTCGCACCAAGGTCCCCATGCCAACACCAAGGGGAATAGTCGACAGGCATGCACTCCTCACAGTGGGCTTGGAACTGGGACTGCCACCTCATAGAGCTGAAAAAACTCAAGTCCAGAGAGCGAGTAACAGCTGATATCTCCAGAGCCCCAGGGGGGAGCCGCCAAGCACGCTCCCTGCTGGGCTGGGGCGGGGAGGGGAGCTGCCTGGCCACCCAGCCCCGTTCTGTCACCACATTTGGGAGATGGGTGCTGTCACTGAAACCAGGAGGGGATCTCCCCCCGACCCCTGCCCCACCCTTGGCCATACCTGTGGGGTCTTCTGGTAGACCAAGTTTCCTCATTGAGCCATGTTGATTGATAGGGACAGAATAAAGGGCACAGGAGGTGATTATTTAAATAGTTAACCCCATGAGGGGACTGTAAGTAGAAAAAAATATGGGGCAGTAAGTAGGAAAAAAATACAGCTAGCTGCTGTAAGCTAATGAGCAGGTTTGCTTAACCACAGAACCAGGCAGGCTTGCTTGGCAACAAAGCCATGCGACAGACGCAGGAGACATGCCCCCAAAACAATGAGACAATGGTGGCATGAGCCCCACATCCTGCCCAGTGAGCTCAGAAAGGTAAGGATCCCCCGGGCGTGCTCTGCACACACGAAAAACAGTCATTGGTGGCCATGTCGGGACAAGCAACTCCACCGCCCAGCCTGGAGGGGGAGCTGATGATGGAAGCATGACTTCCACTCAAGAAACAGGTGTTCTCCCCCTCCCCACTTTTCCTTTGATTATAAACGTGTAACTCACCAAGTTCTCAGGCTGCAGCAGTCCCTTGCCCGCCCGCTTGTAAGCCTCACAAGCCCCCTAATAAATCACTTATCATCTATCACTTTGCAGAATTCTTTCTGCGCTGAGACATAAAGGACTGGTATCAGAGCTCTTCAGAGCCCCTCAGGTGACACCACATGGTTTCTGCATGGCTTGGGCTGTGAGCAGGCCCGGGTTGAGGCGCACTCGGCGTGTGTACCCGGCCTCCATGCGGCGTGCCTCGGCCGTCGCAGGCTTTGGCCGCCTCACGTATATGTGCAGCCCTGGAAGAAGGCTTAGGGTCTCCCCTCTTTCCTCCTCCTCACAGGGAACTGGGTAGCATCCTTTGATCTCAGGGAGAGACCCAGGGTCCCCATCCGGGGGTGGGCACAGGCTGAGACCGAAGGAGACACGGGGGTGGGCGCTGCTGGAAAGACTTGCCCCCTAGCCTCCCGCTGCCCGGGCGGGCGGTCCACCACCACCTGAGTCCAGAAGCCCAGAGCGAGGCTGCCCCCTTGTGACCAGGAGGCAGTAAGGCCAGTGCAGCGAGGAGGAAGGAGCAGAGAGGCAGGGAGGAAGGAGTTTGGTGAGCCCAAGACCCTCCCCGAGTGGGCAAGCCCTGAGGAGTCGGCAGGGGCGCGTGGCTGTCTTCCTGGGGACCCTGCGAAGGCAGGAAAGAAGGGAGTGTATAGCATTTTCATCCCAGGGAACCGGGGGAGGCAGATTCCAGGAAGACACAGATCTCTGAGTTCTTGGAACTCCGGGTTCTCCCCCCCCAAGGACCTGTTCCATTGAAGGCTTAGAGAACTGTCCCCCAATGGAGCCATTTCAAATAACACCCCCTGCCGCTTCCCAGCTTGAGGTGTGTTTCCCATCTCTTGGGTCTTCCCACGAGGACTGCAAGGCCTGTGAGGTAGGCGGACGGACAGTGCTCGTTAGGGCTCAGCCTCACTTTACAGATGCGGAAACCCAGGCACTGCAAGAAGAGTGGCCTGAAGGTACACTCCAGGTTAAGCGGCTGAGTCAGAGCTGGGCTCAAGTTTCTGACCCCATGAGTTCCTTCATGGATTGATTCATTCTGCAAATGCCTACCCAGTGCCTCCTGAGCGAATAACACAAACACGCTTTCTGCTCGCACTCAGCTAGCGTCGACTCATCAAATCAGCTCAGCTTCACAATGAGGGAAAGGGAGGTCTCAGGTGTGCATATTTGTTAGAAAGCTGCTAGGGATGACTAACAGAAACAACTCAGAAGTGGATTCCCTGGCTCACGTATCTGGGAAGAGCTCAGGCTGCCATCAGAGGTTGAGCAGGGAGGGCTGTGGTCATTTCCTGGGACTTTCTGCATCTCGATCCCCACCACCCTCGCTCCCCCACTCCCCATGTCATCAGGCTTCCCAAATTCCAGAAGGTACTGTCTTCGTCCAAAGTCCTGGGCTTTGCTTTGACTGACTCTTAGGTCACAAGTCCAGGACTGGGGGATTGGGTGAGAGCATTGCCAGGGGAGGAGGCCGCCGTCAGAGGTGGGGCTCAGTCCCTACTGGGGTTGTTCCCTGGGCACCTGCAAAGCTGGGGAGAGGTAAGTGGAACCCAAGGATGCAAGTATCACCTCGACAATGGAGTGCACTTGTCCTCATTCGAGGTGAGGGTAGCTGGTACAGACCACTTGAAACTTTTTTCTAAGTAAAGCCATCACTTATATTTGCCACAGCTGGATGTGGTGGTGGCGGCGGGGGTCCTGCTAACAGCCCTTCAGTGTCTGCCCAGAGCCAGGAAGGAGCTAAAGTTTACCGAGCACCTTGTGTGCGCCTCTCAGAGTGCTCCTCACCTTTGGACACATTTCCTCCTCCCGGCCACCCGCAGATTGGGATTGTGTAATGGGAGCCAGGACTGGTGAGCCCAGGACCCTGTTGAGGGGGTCAGGGACAAAGTGACCTAAGAAACACTGACGCCTGTCCTGCAAGATAAAGGTAAGTGGGTCAGATGCGGACAGGGCGTGACAATGTTTCAGGCAGAAAGAACAGCAAAGGTCAAAGCCAGGAGACAGGACAGCCCGGGACCCCCTGAGACCCCACACCATCCCCCAAGCTACTTAGTGTCTGGCTGACCAGCTAAGCGGAACCCTGGGGGAAGGGCCACCTGCCGGTCATCCCCACTGATGAGGCAGGGGGCAGGGATGGAGAGACCTCCCTGGACCACCTGGCCCAAGACCCACCACATTAAGGCGGCGGCAAGTCCGGGTAACTTAAGGACGGGAAGCGGTCTGCGGTGGAAAGAGGGTCAGGAAGTGGGCCCTGGGAGGGGCTGGGCCAGCCGCCGTTTTGACCTGAGGACCCCGGAGGCTGGCCGGGGGTCCGGACTCCCCCTGATTGCCCACCCCCCACCCCCCGCGCACATGCGGCGACCAGCAGCATCCGCTCGCGGAAGGAGGTCTGGTCCCCGCTGGGAGGGGGCCCGAGGCCGACAGAGACGCGCGCCCCTCGCCGAACCTCAGTCTCCCCGCCCGACACGCGGAGAGGGGCGCGCGCCTTCCGGGCGGCCCGGGTGGGCACGGCCCCAGGCCGGGAGGGTGAGCGGCGCCCCGAGGTGAGGGGGGCGCGGGGGCGGCCCGGGAGGGGGGTCGAGGGGAGCGCGAGGAGGGGGCACGTGCAGGTGGGGAGGACGTTGCGGGGGGTCGCCAGGAGATGGGGGGGCTCGGGGAGCTCAGGGACGAGAAGGGGGCACTGAGGGCCCCCCTGGACGTGAGGGGACCCGCGCGGGGCACGGGGTGCTGGCGGGCGGGCGACCTCCTCCGGGCGAGGGAGCCGCAGCGCTCCCCGCACTCCGTGCCTTCGGGGCACGCGGGCTCGCGCGTCCAGCTCCCCGCCCGGCCCTCTCGGCCTCCCCTCTCTCCCGTCCCCCCACCCCGACTCTGCCCGGCCGTCGGTGTCCCCCGTTATTTCGAGCCGGAGGGCCCCCACGCCCAGTCACTTCCCCTCCACCTTTCAGCCTTCCGGGTTCCTCCAGCGGGGAAATGAGCTGGCGCCCCCGCCCGCCTCGCCCCTCCTCCGTCCCTCCTTCTCTCCCGGCCCCCACCCAGCCCCCGACCCCGGGGCCAGGTCGAAGGGGTCCGATCCCGGGAGGGGTTTGCTCGGTTCCGGAAGGCGGACCTCCAGAGCTCGCGGGCCCTGGACCGGCGCGCTCCGAGCGGCCCCTCCCTCGCCGGCGGCCCAGGGACCGTGGCCAGGACTGGGGCTGGGCCGGGACCTCGGGGCAGCGACGGTGACACAGAGGTTTACTGGCATGAAGCTGCCTAAGCGAGCCCGGGGCAGACGCGGAGCTGGAGGCTCTCCGTTTCATCTGGGCTGTCCCCGGGCCCCTCCCGCCAGGCGGGCAGTGGTACTCCGTGGTTAAGAGCACCTTGGCCTGGCAAGGTCTTTCAGACCAGAAGCTGCTAAGAGCGCCAGCGTCTTCCTTCACTGGCCACTGACCTTAGCAAGCCGCCTAACCTCCCTGGGCCCCAACTTTGCTTACCTGGAAAATGAGGAACTTTCAAGCTGGGAAGCTTACATGTGATCATGTGTGTAAGACAGTTGGCAGCGTGCCAGGCACACACGGGCTAAATGTGCACTTTTATTGTCCTTGCTCTTATTATAGGGCCTGCCTATACATTTATCACCTCTGAGATTTAGGGTCAGAATCCCAAACTGTGCCGTTTTAGGAGGTGGGTGCACAGTTTGGTTTTCGTCTGCATCTGTTTCCTACTCAACAACATGAAGGTTAAAACAAACACTAGAGGAGTTCTTGGGTTTCTTTTAGGGCATAAAAGAGAATGTATGTCAAAGTCCTGGGTAAATTCTGGGCATTTAAAGATGCCAAGCAAATTAGTTAATTATGTATGTGTATATAATCCACATACATCTTATCCCAACATGTTCACTGTTTCTCTATCCATGTTTGTAGTCATCTGCATTTTTCTATCCTGTCACCATTATAAAGAGAGTTATTATGAACATGTTTGCTTTAAAAAAAAGTCAGTGGCTGTATTTTTTAGCATCAAAATGAATTTATGCCACAAAAAAATGTTGGCAATTTGTAAGTTCCTGTTAATGTTATTTTGTTCTGTTTGTTCCCACCTGGTTGATTGGAATTGGCTGTTATCACACTGCCCTTCAGGAAGACTGAACAAATTAGCAACAAATGAGAATTTCTCCACTGTCTTGCCAGCATTGAGTTTTATGTGTTTGGGGGTTTTGCTTAGTCTGTATTATTTTAGCTGATGCTTTGTGGTGCCTTAGGATGATTTTCACTTGTCTTTCTTGACTTGACTTTGCCTGGCTTGTAAGACCTCAGCAGTGGAGTTGGGGAAGAGGGATTGGTTGGTCTGTTGGGGTGACTAGGGTTGTTCTACACACAACAGGAAGTTAAGTAACAGCTCAGCACGAGTGCAAAATGGCTTGCTGGCAGCTCCCTCGAGTGGCTGAGCTGGGTGGGGACTTCCCCGAGTGTCTGCAAAGCAGAGTTCTTTGCTCCAGGCAGCTCCTGCCTAGTTTAGCCTCAAATGCAGCCAAACCTCTGGATGCAGAAAAGGCTGGGCTGGCAAAGCTTCTCTGAAAGCAGGAAAGAACCTACAGCCAGTGCCTCGTCCAGCCCCAGCCTTTTCTGGATAGAGATGTGGGGGAAACATTGGCAGAGGGCACCCAGTCAGTATCGAGAGAGTCAGAATGTGAACCCAGAGTGTAAGGGAAGGGGTGTGAGGCCCGAGACCCTTGGCTGAGCAGTTGGGAGCTTTATCTGGTTTGCTTTGCTTTAGAACGGAGCTATATTCTCCCCAAATCCTCACAGAGGACCTTTTAAATGGAAGATCTCCAAGCTTTTCTGATCATGGACCCTATCAGGAAAAGATCTTGAGCACATACTCCCCAGTAAATATTTACAAGTTGCATATATGTATCAGTGAAATAATAGGGCTGGTCTGTAAGGAATATACATAAGATAGATGTGATTCATTCATGCATCACAGTCAAGGAATATTTGTGGAGCACCTACTATGTGCCGGGCATTCTAATTGGTGCTGGGGAAGCACTTATGAACAAAACAAATACTCCTGCGCCCATTGAGCTTATGTTCCCCCACCTAGTATGTGGTCCTTGGCACCCCCTGCCTGGACACCCAAAGCTCCTCCAGCCATCATGCTGCTGTCCCTTCTCTGTACCCTCAAACCCCAGCCCTGGGTGATTCCCGCATCCATTCATCCTGGGCACCACCGTGTGCCAGACACGGGGGAAGTGCTCCCTGGAGCACAGAAGGATCCCGGCTCCAGGTTGGTAGCGGGCAGCTTGGAGCCAGTGGGGTAGGGGTGGAGTGGGGGGAGTCTGTTGGGGTTTGGCCGTGCTCCCCCAGACTCACTGTTTCCAGGCTGATGGGGCACAGAGCACTAGTCATGGGCGCCCAGTTGCAACACCATCCCCAGGGCCCCCTCTTCTCTCTTTGTCCTTGACAAGCAAGTGGAGCCACAGAGCTGGCTCAGAGGCAGGGTCACAGGGGCCACGGCCTCATCCTGCCTTAGTCTCCACCAGAAGGCAGCACTGCAGCATTGCCTTGTCCACACCCTTGGGTGGAGCAGCCCCCAGGGCACTTTCCTCAGTGGGGTGACTGGCAGGCAGTGGCACCCACCCCCAGCCCCTTGGCAGGGTGGAGATTTCCCTGGAAATGATTAAGGCACAGTTCCTATGGCTAGGTGGCCTGGTGTGAAAGCTGCTTTCTTGAGTCTGATCACGCGGAATGATCCCCTGATCCAGGAACCAGGAGGCTGAGCCTCAAGGCTACAGTGGCTGGAGAAGCCACACCCCTCCCTGGGCTCCCACTTCCTCAATTGTAAGATGTGGGGGTTGGGAGGCCCTGCTGGCTTCAACTGCTTTACAGAAGTTATGAAAAAGGGGAAACACGTCTGTCTTCCTCTCTCCCACTCCTTTCAGCCGCACCCCCTCCCCCCTTTAAGGTGTGGGTTAGTAGTCTAGGGAGTATTTCTATCTGAATTTATACTAAAGTGTGATTGACTGATAGGTGTGCTCTGAACCTGCCTGTCCCACTGTGCTACCATACCTCTCTCTCTCACGTTGAGAAATTTTGGGTCCCAGGAAACTAATGGCCAGGGCTCCCCGAGTCCTCTGCAGACCCAGCCTCTCCATCTTCACAGCCTGAAACCCTGAAAAGTCACTAGACAGACTGTTAAGAGTCCGGCCCCCAGGTCTGGACACTCACCAAGGGCCCACACGGTGCAGAGGTGGCCGGCCACACAGCGGGACTGGGACAGAACTGGGAAGTCACGTTCTGCTCTGGCTGAGTCTAGGGTCCAGGACCCCTGGAGCTGCAGCCATGAGGCTTCTTTCCTTCTGGGCCACCTAGGGTGAAGGGCTGGGGGATGATCAGCCTCCCCTGGAGTCAGGGGCTAAGAAGAACCCTGCTGGCGTTTGGAAGTGGGCATCTGGCCTTAAAACCCCCCACTGCCACTGGTGACCTAGGGGGAAGGGGGTCAGATAAGCACAGCTTAGTGGACAGGCCTTGTGCATCCACCCTGCGTCTTGGCATCTGCGGTGTAGACACGGATGACCCCCTGCCTGCCCAGCCTGGAGGCAGCGGAAGCGCTGGGGAAACCCCGTCCGGCTCGCTGACCCAGGCCTGTGCTCCCAGGCACCACTTCCGGGGCCTTCGCTTTACACAAAGAGGCCTTATAAGGAGACAGAGGCTGGAGAGGCAGCTCCCCTGGGAGCTGTGTGTGAGTGTGCAAGGCTGAGCACGCATGTGTGTGGGAGCAGTCACGCACGTGCAAGGCTGACCAGACACACAAACGTGTGTGGCTTCAAGCCTGGCTGTGAGTGTCCACTTTCTTAGCAGAGGCTGCCCGAGGCCCCGCTGGGTCTGGGCTGTGGGACCAGGCGGGCGCCGCGCAGTCCTGTCTGTGCGCCTGTGTGTGTCTGGCCAGGGCCACCCTGGGAAATTTGCAGGACTTCCTGCTGTAAATTAAAGTGGGGTTTGTGGTCGCTGAGCAGCATAGTCCCCAGCAGCACAGTGGGGGACACAGCAGCCCGACGGACCCCAACTCAACGCTGTTCCTCGCTCAGGGCTCTTGGCGGAGACCCCCGCTGGGGGCAGAGAGAGGCCCCAGGGTTCCAGCAGCACCCCCGGCAACCAGGGCCATCGGGGCTCAGGCCTGGGCTGAGAAGTGGCCTCCCCAGGGCCCAGCCTCGGGCCACAAACCTCCCGGCCAGATGGGGGAGGTGGCCGAAGGCCTGGGGACACCCAGAGGCATGGGGGGAGTAGGGGTGCTGCTGGTCTGGGCAGGTGGCCCCCCCGCCAAACTACCACCCCCACAGCCGTCATCTGGGGCTCAAGTCAAGAATACAGGAGGGCTTAGAGCTGGTGAGTGCAGAGTGCTCAGGAAATGTTGCTTGGCCCTTTTTTTTTTTTTTTTAAATCTTTAAAAAAATAACTTACTCAGGCTGGACGCTAATGGCAGTAAACAACTGTGTTCATCAAATATTTATCGAGCACTTACTATGTGCCAAGCATTTAGGCGCCGGGGATAGAAATGTGAACAAGATGGTCAGAAGTATATGTCTCCATCAAGCGAGTTACATTTCAGCAGGGGGAAAAAAGACATGGCAGAATAAATGAGGACAATGTAACCTGTGCTCAGTAGGATTATCTGAGGGGAAAATGAGGGACGTGAGAGTCCCTTGGACAGCAAGGAGATCCAACCAGTCCATTCTAAAGGACATCAGTCCTGGGTGTTCATTGGAAGGACTGATGCTGAAGCTGAAACTCAAATACTTTGGCCACCTGATGCGAGGAACTAACTCATTTGAAAAGACCCTGATGCTGGGAATGAGTGAAGGCGGGAGGAGAAGGGGAGGACAGAGGGTGAGATGGTTGGATGGCATCACTGATGCAGTGGACATGGATTTGAGTAAACTCCGGGAGCTGGTGATGGACAGGGAAGCCTGGCATACTGCAGTCCATGGGGTTTGCAAAGAGTCGGACACTACTGAGCGATTGGACTGAACTGAACTGAGGGAGTCTGGCTCAGAAAGTGACATTGGACGCAGACTCGAGTGGCAGCGGGGAAGGCGGGAGCCATGCGGGCATCTGGGGTAAGAGCTTTGCAGGCTGAGGGAACAGCTGGTGCGAAGGCCTGAAACGTGTGCCCAGGATCAGCCCCTGGTCCAGCCAGGAGGCCCACCCTACGCAGGGGAAGCACATCGAGGGCCAGCACATCCATCCTACCCAAGAGCTGCCATTTCATGAACACCTACTATGTGCCAGGCCTGGTGTGCTGTCTTATTTCACCCTCTTAGATCTCTGGGGAAGTGGGGGAGGGCAGGATTCCTATTTCCATTTTGCCGATGTGGAAACTGAGGTTCAGAGAGGGTGAGTGACGTGCCAGGGTCACACAGCTGGCAAGCAGTGTGGCTGGGCTCCACCCTGGGCTCCCTGTGACTCTGGGAGGCTGAGGCGGGGAGAGAAGGGGTTTGAGGAAGTCCACTTTGGGTCTTTCCGGATGAGTAGGAGTTTGCTGGACAGAATAGGGGGGGCGTTTGGTGGCACGGAGAGGATGAGCACATGGAACTGGCCTCCCACGACCATCAGGCTTGACCTTCCCTGCAGAGGGAAGATAGCATGTGCAAAGGCCAGCAGGCCTGGTGTGCTCCTGGAGGGGGACGGTGCTCCACCCATGGGGAAACTGAGGCACGAGTGATGACACCCTCCCTCGAGGCCAGAAGGGGTGCTGACCTGCGTCCCCTCCCTCTCTCGGGCACAGGAGCCAAGCAGCCATGGCCTATCACAGCTTCCTGGTGGAGCCCATCAGCTGCCACGCCTGGAACAAGGACCGCACCCGTGAGTCCCCGAGACCCCCCTCTGCCACTGTGCCCCTGCTTCACCCCCGACCCTGAGATCTTGAGTGTCAGGAGAGAAGGGATCCCACACAGGGCAGCCAGGCGCACGGACCTTGAGGGCCGGAGGCCAGAGGGCAGCCCCGCCTGTGCTGGGCACTACTGTGGGCGCCGGGCGGGTGGCCTGTCCTCTGCTCGTGAGGGCCTGGGGGTGGGAAATGCAGCCTGCAGTGAAATGAGCTCCAAGGGAACAGGCAGGGTGAGGGGAAAGCGATGGAGCCGGGGACTGGCTTAGAAAGGGTGGCCCGTGAGGCCTTTCAGGGCAGGTGACGTTTGCAGAGAGACCCAAAGGAAGTGAGGGAAGTCAGCTGCAAAGGCCGGGGCGGGTGCAGCGACCCCAAGGTGGCAGAGCCTGGGGTCATCAGGGGCAGCCCAAAACCCCTGGGTGCATCCTGGTAGCAGGGGGAGGCAGGGAGAGCTCGCAAGACTGCCTTAGGGATGTTAGGGGTGGTGGGCACAGGTGAGGAGTGGCCAAGCCCTGGGGAGGTGTCCCAAGGGGGGGGTCCAGCGGGACTTGAGGCAGAGGAGGAGAGGCCAGGAACAAAGGACAAGGTACTGCCCAGGTGGCCCGTGAAGGGGGGGCTCGTGGCGGGGAAGGGGCGCCTGAGCACGTCCGCCCGTCTCTCCTGCAGAGATCGCCATCTGCCCCAACAACCACGAGGTACACATCTACGAGAAGAGCGGGAACAAGTGGGTCCAGGTGCATGAACTCAAGGAGCACAACGGGCAGGTTACAGGTGCGTCGGGCTGGTTGGCTCACCCTCCTGAGAGAGGGCAGGGCAGGGGTGACAGGCGCGTTGGGCTGGCTGGGCTCACCCTCCTGAGAGAGGGCAGGGCAGGGGTGACAGGCGCATTGGGCTGGCTGGGCTCACCCTCCTGAGAGACGGCAGGGCAGGGCAGGGCCAAGCCGTCCCCCTACTCACCGTGTTAGGTAGGCGAGTTTGGGCTGCAAGCCTTGACAACAGAACCCTGATTCAGACTGGCTTAAGTTATAAAGCAGTTACATGGATGGGTTCACGTTTCTGAAAAACAGATGTTTGAGGACCTCAGGAAAGGCTTGATCCAGCACATCAGCATTACCAGGGACCCATTTCTATTTTCGTCTCTTGGCTTGGCCTTCCAGCGTGTTTGCTGATAGCTGAGAGAGCTGTAACACCCCTGATGAACTCTAGTAGCACCCTGATTCAATCCTGATTGTGACCTCGAAGCCCCTCCTCTGTGGACATTGTCGAGCCAACTGTGCTTGGATGGCTTCAGCCGAGTCCTTCCTCCCACCCCGCAGGCATTGACTGGGCCCCCGAGAGTAACCGCATCGTGACCTGCGGCACAGACCGCAACGCCTACGTGTGGACACTGAAGGGCCACACATGGAAGCCCACGCTGGTCATCCTGCGCATCAACCGCGCTGCTCGCTGCGTGCGCTGGGCCCCCAAGGAGAACAAGTTTGCTGTGGGCAGTGGCTCCCGTGTCATCTCCATCTGCTATTTTGAGCAGGAAAATGACTGGTGGGTGCCCGGGCGGGTTCAGCATGGGTTACGAGGGACCGGGGGCTGCAGACCAACAGGTGGTGGGACAGGAGGGTCCCAGAAAGCCACTGGGCGGGGAGTCAGGACCCCTGTTCACAGGACCCGAGAAGGGTGTCCTTTCTGACCCTTGGAAGTGAGGCGAGGGGCTCTCTGCCCAGCCCCCAGCCCTCCCCCAGCTCCCTCTAGTAATAAGGGCACGAGCCACGCCAGGGCTGCTTCTGCAGGCATCACACTAAGCCCTGCCCACGTACGCAATGACCCCCCCCCCACACCCCACCCGCCGCGGCCCCCTGGACTGGGCATCTGCTGCCATCCCTGCTGGTGATGAGTGGTTTAGTCGCTAAGACTTGTCGGACTCTTGCAACCCCATGGACTGTAACCTGCTGGGCTCCTCTATCCATGGGATTCTCCAGGCAAGAATACTGGAGTAGGTCGCCATTTCCTTCTCCAGGGGTTCTTCCCGACCCAGGAATTGAACTCAGGTCTCCTGCACTGCAGGCAGATTCTTTACCAACTGAGCTATAAGGGAAGCCCTGCTGCCATCCCCACCTTACAACAAAGGCCCTGAGGCAAATCACCTGCCCACAGCAACAGCCGTCACACTCCAGGGCCCACTCACAAGCTCCAGCCATGTCACGACCTTCTCCCCGGGGTTGCTGAGGGCAGAGGCCGGGCGGGAGCTCGGACTGGAGTCCGAGAAACTCGAGTTCAGGTCCCACCCTGACAGTGAGCAGCCGCGTGCCTTCTCCTTACCCGGCGGCCCCAGGGTAGTTACGAGGTTGAAAGGAGACCAGGGGCGGCGCTCCCATCCAGGGAGGGACCCAGCTGGCCCGGGCCCTTCCCTCCGGGGACCTCTGCGGTCTGCAGGGCCCAGTGGAAGCCTGGAGCCCGAGGCGCTGAGGTCCGAGGGCACTCACCTGTCTGTCCCTCTCTCCCTGCACACCTGTGTGACCACCGCCGTGTCCAGGTGGGTGTGCAAGCACATCAAGAAGCCCATCCGCTCCACCGTCCTCAGCCTGGACTGGCACCCCAACAATGTGCTGCTGGCCGCCGGCTCTTGCGACTTCAAATGCCGGTGAGGGGGGGTGCCCTGCCGTCAACACAGGATTCCTCAGGGGTCAGGGGGTGGCGAGGGGAGCCCTGTCCCAAGAGGCCCGCCTTGCAGACCAGCTCTGCACCCAGCAGGGTGCCCTGGGGCCTCAGTCCAGCTTCCGTAAGGGTTTGCTCTTTGAAGGACCGTTCTTGAGTCCTCTCTCTGGCCTGTGGGGAGTCTTAGAAGGACATACACCTTGCCACTTTCTAATGTCAGCAGGATCTCTTCTAGGCCCTGCTGTCCTCATTAGAACCTCCCACCCCTTCAGCTTCCTGATTTCCATCTGAGGGAAAAAGAGTGGGTGTTTTTATTCACACTGAGGTATAAATGACTGAGGCTGGGACAGTCTCTGTCTCATTATCTTAACACCTGGAACATCTAACTGCTATTGGCTGTTTCTCACTTTGGGCCCAGCACCCCTGAGTCTCCCAAGGCCTCTAGCTCCCAGCTCCAGGCAAGACGGCCTGTATTTCTGAATCGCCCCTGGGTGTTGAGGCTATAGCAGACACCAGAGGCCCTGGGCACAGAGCAGATAAGGTCCCGAGAGCTCTCAAGACTTGGAGCTGGGAGGCTTCCTGGCCCCACTCCGTTGTACAAGTGGGCACTGAGACCCAGACTTATCCAAGCGTGAAGACTCAGGTCATAAAAAGCTAGCCCTGGTACCCACAAACTCAGCAAGGTGCTCTGGCCTCACCAGGCCAGTTTGGGAGATGGGGGTCCCTTCTTGGGTCCCTCCCAGATGCCCACCCATCCCCTTTTCTGCCTCTCCTGGCAGGATCTTCTCAGCCTACATCAAGGAGGTGGAGGAGCGGCCAGCACCCACCCCGTGGGGCTCCAAGATGCCATTCGGGGAGCTGATGTTTGAGTCTAGCAGTAGCTGCGGCTGGGTGCACGGCGTCTGCTTCTCGGCCAGTGGCAGCCGTGTGGCCTGGGTCAGCCACGACAGCACCGTGTGCCTGGCAGATGCTGACAAGAAGATGGCGTGAGTACGGTCACCCGAGTGGGGGTCCGCCCCGGCACCGAGAACCAGGGGCGGGTGTGGCTGACATCGCGTTCTCTCTCTCAGCGTCGCGACTCTGGCCTCTGAAACACTGCCGCTGCTGGCCGTAACCTTCATCACGGAGAACAGTCTGGTGGCAGCGGTAAGGAGGGGGCCGGGAGCAGGGGCTGGTGACAGCAGGTCTCCCAGTGGCCCCAAGATGCCCAGGCAGTCCTCAGTTTGTCCCCGCTCATGCCTTTCCTCCCCCACCCCCATCCATCCATCCATCCATCCATCCATAGCTCTACTGGTCGGAATGGGTGGGGTTATACTGGGGTAACGACAAAAAAGCCCCAGTGGCACCAACTGCAGTGGCTTAACATGGGAAATGTTTGTTTCTTGCTCATTTTGTTCTGTCTGGGTGCTGGGAGGGGGGCTGTGTCTCCCATCTGGAGATGGGAAGTGGGGAGCTATGCCCTGGCCCAGGCCTTTCTGCTTTTACGTTTTATTGGCTGATGGAAATGACAGGGCCACACCGCCCTCAAAGGATGGGTGCTTGTGGTGGGTGGGGGTGGGTAAAGGGTCCAGCAGTGTGTTTCTCCCAGAGCCCATGTGACTGTCTGGATGGGACGGGGCGCTGGGCTCCCAGGGGAGTCCCAGACCCGCTTTCTCGACCCGAGGCTGGCCTTGTGGACGGAGGGGGCCGCTCCTAGGTGCTCAGCCCAACTTCTGGCCCCTGTTACTATACCCGGGGTCCCTGAGCGGGCATGGCTGCCTCCGGCACCCCCGGATTGCTGGCCAGAGTTGCCTTGGCCTTGCACCTCCCCGGGGCCTGGGGTTCCCCTAGAGGGAAATGGGGGCACTGCGCCTGCGCTAGCCAGCGCTCCAGTGGCACCCCACCCTGCCCCTCTCGCCGCAGGGCCACGACTGCTTCCCGGTGCTCTTCACCTACGACAAAGCCGCGGGGAAGCTGAGCTTCGGTGGGCGGCTGGACGTGCCCAAGCAGAGCTCGCAGCGCGGCCTGACGGCCCGCGAGCGCTTCCAGAACCTCGACAAGAAGGCGAGCTCGGAGGGCAGCGCGGCGGCGGGCGCCGGCCTGGACTCGCTGCACAAAAACAGCGTCAGGTGCGGGCGGGGCCCCTGAGGAAGGCGGGTCCGTCTCTTCGCGCGGAGGCACCAGTATCGGGCGGTGGGCTGGCGGGCAGCCTTGCTCTGCGGTCCCGGGACGGTGTGGGACCGCCGGGTCTGCGGATCTGGGTGGGGTGGGGCAGGGTGGCAGCGACCCGCAGACTGCTAGCGGGCGGGGCTCGAGCTGGAGCGGCTTTGGGGCTAGAACCTGGCCGGGTGGTGCAGAACGGAGAGCGTGGCAGCGGTCTCCTCGAGGAGCTAGGGTAGGATTGGAGTGAGAGACCCCGAATCCTGCCAGCTGCGGGTGTCCGCCCCGTGGCAGATGAGAGGGAGAACGTGGCCAGGCTTTGACCCTTGTCTGTTAAGCTCTCCTGTGGCCGCCGGGTCCAGCGTCTTCAGACCAGATTACTTTGCCGGCCTTCCAAGGCTCTCCGGAACTAGCCCTGCCTCTTCCCAGCCCCACCTTTTGCTTCTTCTCCCCATTGCACCATGACTCCCCCTGCGCACGCCCCCTGCCCACGCCGTCCTGTGTCCCTTGCACACAGGCTGGTGCTTGCCACTAGAGCACACTCGGGAGCCCCGTCCCCTGTGATCCTTCCGAGCTGGGTGCACACACCTCACCGGAGCAGGCTCCCCCAGCAGTTAGGCGGCTCCTGGAGGGCAGGGTGGGATCTGTAAAGCCCTCCTCCTCTTTGCAGCCAGATCTCGGTGCTCAGCGGGGGAAAGGCCAAGTGCTCGCAGTTTTGCACCACCGGCATGGACGGTGGCATGAGCATCTGGGACGTGAAGGTGAGGCCTGCCCTCCACCCCTGCCTCCCCCCAGGTTCCCAGGGCGGGCCCCCTACCCCCCACCTCCCTGGCAGCCACCTGGCCACTCCAGCCCCTCATCCCTGCAGAAGGGTCCCTCAGTGGAGTGAGGACCCCTTGGCACCCTCTGCAGCATCTTCCTTCAGGGCTGGGATGTAAATCCAGGTCGCCTGACACCAAAGGCCAGGTTCTGTGTCCGGCACCAGGTCCCTGCGGGTGGTGGTAGGGTGTCTGCAGGACAGCTGAGAACCACCTGTCTGTCCTGCTTGTCTCCTCCCAGAGCCTGGAGTCCGCCCTGAAGGACCTCAAGATCATATGACCCGTGAGGAGTGCACTGCCCTCGGCCCGGGTCGGGGAGGCTGAGGGCCGCTTTGCTGAGTTTCTAGGGTACCGGGTGGGGTTCCCACCGGGGCTGTTCCGCAGGAGGGGAGGGACGGGAGGCTGCTTCTTGGCTATGGAAGGAACGATTGCTTTTTTCTTGAAGAAATGCTTTAATTGTAAAAGAAACTGTTCTCAAAGCACTCTGGTGGTCATGAACTGCTTCAGAATGTGGAGGTAATAAAAACACAACTGTAGACACGCTGGCCTGTGTGTCTGGAGGAGGGGTCAGTCTGGGCAGGGCACTGGTAGCTTTCTGCTGTTTGCCAGCACAACTGATCCTCACACAGAGGCGGCGCCCCGGTGGTTGCTTCCCGCCACAGCCCAGCCTGGGAGCTGCCAGGACCGGCCGTCTCCCATCACTCACTCAGCAGTCAGATGCCAAGAATGGTGACTGTACACTCTAGGCTGGTTCTGGGCTTTAACAGAAATTACTGTTTCTCTATTTGATGTTTGCAGTTGGTTTCTAATAACTGCTCATTTTTTAGGACAATCCCCCCCCTTCCTATTTTACTGTTTTTTAATCCCATGGTTTTTGGTCTAACTAGGTAATGAGTTACATCAATAGATCTTCTAATGGTGAACTAGGCCCACATTTACAGAAAAAATAGCACCTAAAGGCGGCTTCTCCCCCATTGTTCTAGGGCCTGTGTGTTCTCAGGATAACCTCTGGAGTTGGAGACCCACTGATTCTTTTTAAATCAGGAAATAAAAATTCTAAGTCCCTAGGAGACAGTCCAGGCTACATGGTTCCCCACGTGTCTGTGTGACCAGCTGCATCTGACTCTTTGTAACCCTGTGGACGCTAACCCTGTCCATGGACAGCTCCTCTGTCCAGGGGATATGTCAGGCAAGAGGACTGCAGGGGGCTGCTGTTTCCTTCTCCAGAGGCTCTTCCCCACCCAGCGATCAGACCTGTATCTCTGGCATCTCCCGCCTTGGCAACCAGGTTCTTTACCACTGCGCCACCTGGGAAGCCCCCCGGCTCCCCATTATTCTTGAGCAAACCCATGCCTGGTACCTGTTCACCTCTCAGGAGGCTGCTGTCTGGGAAGTGGCGCCCCTTCCAGTGGGCTGGCTGCATAGGTAAGACAGGTACTGTGCGGAGTCTTCAGGCGCCCATGTGACTGAGCCGAGCCTGGGTTAGGCCTGAGGTAAGGCCAAGCAGAAGTGCTGGGTGTTGGGTCACTTCCTCCCAGCGCTGAAATCCTGGGGCTGTCACCACCAGGGGGCACCAGGAAGGCGGGACTCGACACTGCACAGGTCCCTGGCCCCTCTGGCTTAAGGTCCCTGGGTGGTTAAAGAGACGGGTGGTTCCTGTATCCTGAGGTCTTTCCCGGCTGAGATGCCCAGGCCGAGCCAGGGGTCCAGTCCCTGTACTCGGGCCTGGTGGCACCAGAACCCTGCGGGGTGGGCCTGAGAGGGACGCCGGGTCCTGCTGGGTGAGAACAGCTCAGGCCTGGGGGCCCCCAAGAGCGATCACAGGACCAGGATTACGATAATGTCAAGTTTAATTTGCCAAATATACAAGTTGGATCTGTGGAGCGTGTTGTGCCTGGGTGCTGCACAGTAAACAGGCTTCTCGAAATGATCCGCGGGCGGGGTTACGAACGGGCCGGGGCCTGGCCAGAGTAGGGGGCAGGGAGTGGGGTGGGAAGGGCAGGGGGAGGCGTCCGTCAGAGGGGACTGGCCGGGATGAGCCGTGACCTCAGGGACCCATGGGCACGGGCTGCCAGCCCCTCTGAGTGAGCACCCAGGGAACACAGACCGGGGGGTGGGCAGACAGGCCATTGCAAAGTTGTCAGCAGCTACTGCGGCCCCAACTGCCCCCTGCCTCGCAATCTACCAGACATATGGAAGCTCCTCTTAACCCACCTCCCAGGTACCCCCCAACAAGGGTTCTGAATTTTAAAAACAGCCAAAACATTTGAATGGTTACATATGAAATGCTGTCCTGCATCTTTCTGCCTCAAAGATAGCAGCTGCCCCTCCCCCAGCCCCCCACCCACCATCCCCCCAAACAATTTCCGTGCCAAGATGAAGAGGAGGTCCCAGGCCGTGGGGGGCTCCTCGCCACGAGGGGCTGCTGCAGCGGCACCGGGGCACAGGGCGGGTGAGACGCAGCGGAGGTCCTGGCAGCACGGCCCAGTTCCCTGGTCTCTCCTCCCACAGGCCGTGCTACTTGTTCAGGGAGAGCGACTGCATTCGTTTTCCTGACAAGGTCGCATCATCTTTTGCTGAGAAGCAGGAAGGGAGAGAGTCACAAGATGAAACCACCCCTCCATACACACAGCCCTGCACGCCCCGGAATCAGCAAAATGTAGGTCCAGAAGGCCTCAGACAACAATCTGTGCAACTGGCTCAGCTGGCAGATGAGGAAGAGACCCAAGAAGGGCCCGGCCTGACACCCTCCCACGGAAGCCAGCGGACCTACGTGTCCAGACATTCTTGCTAAGTTTGGGCGGCTACCCCCCACCACAAAGGCCCACCAACACGCAATCTACTGGGCAAATAGAAACTCTTCTTAGCCCGCTCCCAGGAGAAGTCTGTAATTCCAAGCTCTCCCTGTGGCTTCTGAAGTCTGAAATCAGCAACATGCAAGCAGTCACACACAGTCCTTTCCTGCTTGGGGTTTGTGAAACAAACTACTGGTGGGCAGCTGAGATCACCAGGTATCTCCAACGTGGTGATAATGCCCTGGGGTGTCTTTAGGCCTCTAGAATGCAGGACAGCAAGATTCCCAATACCCATGGCTCCCCCCCAGATGAAGGATTGCATGAGGCCAAAAATTCCTGAGACAAACACTCCTTTAAATCAGACCAATTCCTCACAGCCAACCTGGCCTGGAAGAACCCTACCACCTTCGGCCCCACTGGAAGGCATGGGGAAGAGGGACACCTGGGCCAGATTTCATCTGGGAAGCCCAGCCCACCACACCCCCCCAAGCGTCTCAGACATACAGTGGTGATGCCAAGCAGGTCTCCTGGCTATACAAGGCACCAGAGACTTAGTGGAACCTGCTAGCCTCGAAAGTAGGTGCCTTCTGGGAGGTGGCAGGCAGGAACGTCCACCTCCAGCTGACACACACACACACACAGACACACACACACAGCCTCCCAAGCAATCTGGTGTGCGCAGACACACACACACACACAGTGGGCCTCGCGGGCAATCTGGCCCAAACCCACCTCATAGCAAGACATCGAAGTACAGGGCTTGGCTCCGTCCAGAGCCAGGGTCAGGCTGCCATACCAGTGGCTCAAGACTTACCTTTCCTCTCTTCTTCCTTCTTCCTGGCAGCCTCTTCCCGCTGTTTTCGGATGATCGCCAGTCGGGCAAGGTCGGCCTTGGCTTGCTCTGTCTTCCCCGCTAAATGCATCTTCATGTAACGCTCTTTCGCTTTCTGCTTCTCGATTTCTTCTCTGTTTGGGTAAAGAGGTGTCACAGGGGACATCTCCCCCCCCACTGTCAGCTGAGCTGGACGCGGGAGCCAGAATCAAGGCCAAACACTCGGGCCTGGGGCCCAAGTGGAGGAGGGGCTGTGTCCGAGTGCCCCCTCCCTGATGGACACTCACAAGCAAGCTAGCACAGGTCGCCTGTCGCTCTGCTACCTTGGAGAGTGGGGGTCCTCAGTGGTGAGAAGGCAGTTGGAGGGGGAGGGTCTTGAGCAGCCTTCAGTCACACCCCAAGCTGGTGGGCCTTCCCCGTGGGGTTTATTTACAGAGACCGCCTTCAGCTCTCATGGGGTCAGCACAGCAAGGTGGATTTAAATCTAACAGCGCAATCAGGAGAGAAATCAGAGTGGCTTTTCCTAGCAGCCTGCAACCTCCTGTGAGGCCCTAGATGTCACCAGGTAGGCATGAAAACAGAAACCAGCTGTGTGCAGGGCACTTTAGCCCGCAGGTGCAAGCCTCACACAGCCCACAGGGAGCTCTCCGCAGCCTCATTTTCACCTGAGGCGAGAGGACTGGGCAGCTGGTGGGTGCCCATCAGCACAGGCCCCCAACCCTGCAGCCATGACGTCAGGGACGGATGTGGGTCAGCAGGGTCCGATCAGGCTGGGTAAGGGAGGTGCCCTGGAGCAGAGCGTCTTGAGGGAGGGGCTGCAGCATGACCATCCGCATCCCCAGGGATTACTTCAAGTGCAACGCTCAGATCTGAATCTGCTGTTCTATCTTCCCTGTGTTTCCACTGGTGAAAAAAATCCTTTTTTTTTTTTTTTCTTTTTCGAGAAACTTCTAAAGGGCCTTTGGGGAATGAGATCACATAGAAATAAACACTGTAACTGGAGCCCCCACCCGGCCACTGGAGACCTAAGGGTCCAGAAGTGAGGGCAGAGGAGCTGGGGCCTCAGCCACACAGCTCGGAAGCAGCAGTTACCTTTCTCTTCGGGACAGCTCCTTGGGCCCATCCAGGTCCAGCTGCGTGACCTTTTTGGTTGTCTGTGCCACCCGGTTGGGGTTCTCAATGTCGATGAGCCCTTCCACGCCTTTGCGCTTTTGCTAAGGTAGGACAAGAAGCCGGATACTGGAGAAGCTTGGTCCTGCAGTGCCCGAGGGCCACCCCCATCTCCACAGTCTGCCTGGCCTAGAACAAACTGCTCCTCTCCAGGCTGTGTGACGCTGGGCCCAGCCTCACGGTGGGAACAGCGCTCAGGCGTGTCTACACCAACCCAGGAGATGCAGCAGGAGTGTGGGTGACCGAGTCCAGCCTGTGCCGTGTCCGGGCCACCAGGGACCATCACCCTAGTTTCACAGGCGACAGAGCAGAGACACAATAAAATGCCTGACATCAACCCAGAAGTAGATGGGAGATGTGAACATGAGCCCAATTCACAAGCTCTCAGCACAGAGAGGTACTCCTTCACTTCGAGCTCAGCCTCTGAAAGCTGTTTCCATGGAACCTCACACCTGGCTGCTAGCCATGCTGGGTCCCTGGAGAGGTTGCTTGCAGGGAAGTGGGGCCTGGGAATGAGCTCAACGTCTATAGGTTTGGGGAGGCGCACCTGCAGCTTGCACCTCCCAGCTGCCCAGGCAAAGTTTAGAAAGAAATGAGAGCACAAGTGCTTGATGCAACAGGTTTGAGCAGTTTCAAGCCCTGTCAACCCAGCTGTTCTCTTTAAGAGACCAGAGAGCTTCGAAACGCCTGTTCATCAGAGCACTGTACAGAGCTCCAGGCACCTCTACCCAGCCGGTGTGTAT